GCACAAACATTTCAAAAATATTAAGTGTGTCGCTCCTTAAGCTCACGAAAAGTTGCTAATAGTAAGTTCTATTATTTTTTAATAGCTTACAATAGTTTCCAATACACATTTTAGTTTGTTTTTTCTTTCTGAAATGGGTAGAGCCAAGCACTGCGCTCCTGAACGACGTGCACTCATTCAAAAATTGATATCTGAGGGAAAAACTTACAATGAAGTCCAAAATATAGTAGGTTGTCCTCCTACAATGGTGTGTAATGGTATAAAATTTATCCCAGGCCCCTAAGCACGTGGAAGACCTCGCGCTATGTCAGATAAATTGGCGACCCTTGTAGTGAGATACTTTAGGCAGAACCCATTTGCGAGCTCTACCGATATAATAGATGAATTAAATCTCCATACAAGTACACAAATAATACGGAGATGCCTACTGCAAAATAATATGGCAGCTCGGAGTCCAAGGAAAGTGCCCCTTCTCACAAAAAAACATCTGGCAAGACGAATTAAATTTGCACAAGACCACATTGATTGGCCAGTGCAGTAATGGAGAAACATTTTGTGGTCAGATGAATCGAAAATCACGCTTTATGGTGGAACTGGGTCTCATCAGTATGTTAGGCGGCCACTAAACACTGAATGGCACCCTCGATTCACCACGAAAACCGTAAAACACGGAGGAGCTCGTATTATGATATGAGCCAGTTTTTCATATTACGGCACGGGGCCTTATATTGGCTCCGGAATGTCATGGATCGCCACCTTTATGTGCATATAATGCAGAATATTATGCTGCCATATGCCATTGATGAAATGCCACTGATTTGGGTATTCCAGCGGGAAAATGATCCGAAGCACACAAGTAATGTTGCCAAACAATGGTTTCAAACTAACAGGATCAATGTACTAGAATGGCCGGCACAGTCTCCAGATCTCAACCCGATTGAGAATTTATGGTACGATGTAAAGAAGGAAGTTGCCAAGAGTAAACCAACTAATTTTGAATAGGTTTGGGGACCAGCTAGACATGCTTGGAGCTCCATTCCTTCTCAAAGATGTCACAATCCCGTGGACTCCATGCCAAAGCGATGTGCTGTAGTTTTTGCACACGATGGCTATGCTACAAAATACTAATATTATTTAGAAAGTCCTAATATGAGTAATTAAAATAATAACCGTATTATTTGGATCAGTTGGGACAAGTAAGAGGCCAACAAATGAAACACTACTATTATTTTGAGCGACCAAATTAATAAAGTTTTGGAAAAAAAATTATTTAAATTGTTATATGACCAGAATTTGTTATTATTTCTTTATAATTTACTTGTTAATATACCATACTTAACAATACAAATTATTTTAAGTTTATTAAATCACCATTTCATACATTTTTTGAACGAACTAAATTTTTATGAAAGCACTACTATTATTTTGAGCACAGCTGTATGTGATATATGTAGGATTGTCGCGTAAATAAAAATCCATCAGTTCCATGTATTGGAATAGGAAGGCCATTGGAACTTTCTGATAACAGTTGGAGCAAGCTATATACGCTATATACTTGTATATACGACCGGAAATGACCGAAGGTCCGTCCACATATGGCATACAAAATTTTGTTCTGAATCTTTCAAATAGGGTGCGTGAGAAAGCAATTGGAACATTAATTCTTTGTATTTCGTACCGCTGCGATAACAGATGTGTGAACCTTTTTAGCCAAAAACGATCGTTTTTCTTGATTTCATCACTCGTTTCATGAAACATTTTAACAGTTCGCATAATATCATTGTCCTATAGAGCAAGTCTTTTACAGGCCAATAGTAGTAGCATAACTTTTTTTGTTATTAAGATATTTTTACGATCAGTTCAAAAATTCATCTAAGTAATTTGCACACTTCTGTTTCTTTTGTTATCGAAACCACATGATTTGTTTACGAGTTCTCCATAGTCAAAACCAAGGACAAAACCGGAAGCCGCTATTTATAGGAATGATTTCTTGCAGTTCAATGACTGCAGCGGGAAAGGATATACTCGTTCTTGTTCTATTTCAATCGGCAATACAAATATCTGCACATGATAGCACGGATAATTTGAAATACTAGCTAATATTTTTGTTCGTTTTGTCACGTGCACATCTCTAGTACAGATAGTGGAGAGTATCTGTTTGTGTGGCGTTCTTGCCACCTAAAGCCGCTCGCTTCAGTAATTTCACTTAAGTCATTATGAGCCATTAATAAAGCCCACTGCTGCTCGGCCCCTGTTGTCGCTGCTGCCTCCGACCCCTTCGATTCGATGTCGACTTGTTCATAGCCAACTTATTTACACATCGCATCAAAAATCAACTCCCCAACGCAGTGCTGTGATGCGCCGATATGTCTACAACTGCCCAGCATAGTACTTACCTGAACACATGCACACAAACATATCTCTAATAGTGTGTGTGTGTGTGTGCTCACTATTTGTTGATTCCTTGCGGCTTGTTCGCTGCTGTATTATATCCAGCCATTGCTGTGTGTAGCTTCCATTTTTTGGTATTTGTTTGTTTGCGCATTCAAGTGTACTTGTATTTTTATTGCAATTTATCAGTGCGAACGATTGAAGTGCTTTGTGTTTTGTGTATTGTGAGAACAGCGAGTGCGAGGCATTCAGCAAAATGGAAAAAACCATTCAATTAATTTCAAAAACATATTGAAATCGCTCAGATTTATAAACTGTGCCAACTTGTATGCCTGCCGGCAACGCTTTTGGCCTCAAATCGGGCGGAAAGTGCGGACAGTGTTATTAAAATGCATAGTTGATTGATTTAAAACACAATTTCAAAGGGGATTCTAAAAAAAAGCATTTATGATCAACTAATTGTTATAAAACGATGTATTGATATATGTGTGGCTTAATTAATAAAGTATATTTATCGAGAACTAATATGTTTCCTAAATAACTTCATGCATAAATAAAATAATTTTCCTTTTGTTACCCATTTTAAGTGATTTGTTCTAATAACAAAACTATATTGTCAACCTTTTGTCCGCTTAGGAGTTTGTTGATCTGTTTGGCTGACCGACTTTTGAATAGTTTTTGGTCCAACTTTTCAAAATGTGTAATAGTTCTTCACAATTGGTTCGATTTTAATAGCTTTGCACATTTTAGAAGGCCGGGAAGTGGTGCAAAAATCAAAATTATGCTGCTATTAGGAAGCAAGTCTAGAAAATAACTTAAAATAAAATTTGCGGTTGGCATCGAACCAAGTAAACATCCAGGGTGTGAAGAAAGTGATGAGCTAATGAGAGAGGACGATAGCTTATTTAAATTGTAACGTTCGTGTACAACCAATTTCAACACTAATTAAATATTGATAGGCATAATAATAATTTTAACAGTAATTTCGACAAGCTTTGACTTTGATTTCTGCTAACCAATTCACTTGAATAATTAGTTGATTCCCGGCAATTCAACTTTAAGCTGTGGCTGCTGAATAAATAAATTTGAAAATAAGCCTTAAGGACTGCAGCTTTTAAGACGCTACATACTAGTATATATTTGGCCCATTATTCTACAACCGTTCTCGTTGAGTGCTGTCTTAAGCTTCTCAAAAATCCCTCAATTCTAAAACAATAATGCACTTCTATTGCACTTTCAACTGCAAAAACTTTTCAAATCTTATACTTGTGTCTGTGGGCGTGTGCGCCCACAAAAGTTTTGCCTACATTTCGCAATAAACACTTTTACTTTCGTATCGAGAAGATAGAAAATACATTTCATTTCAGTTCAAGTATGTGGTTTTCTCTTAAAATCTCACATGCTTGCTCTTTCGGTTTCAATTACTCAACGGCGGTGGCGACTCTGCTAAAACGTATATGTATACTTCGAATGCTACTTATACTATGATTTTCTAAGCTGTTTTGTTCGAAACATATTCAGCTAAGGCAGCATATGGCAATAGAAGAGTTTCGTATAAGAGTTATTAGCAGTGCGTCGAACTTCGAAACTCAGAGCAGAGTGCAGCAAGCGCCTGCGTTGTGGCTGCTGCGAGAGTCAATGACGAAGTCGAAGTATCTAACGAAGTCAACGAAGTTCCTGTACTAAATGATGCAGAATTTGAGCAAAGTTTTAGATACAGCCCTCTTGAGAGATACATAGAAAAATTAGAAAAAAAAAAACAATAAAATAGTCATGGTCTTATAGGTAAATTGTTGATATATTAACCGTTTAATTTAATTTAAAAGCGGCCCCTTTAGAGATTCTGCAATTTACTTATAATTATAAGTTCATTTCAATTCGGTGTTCCTTGAGTTCGCTTAGCATTGACTCCAACCAGCTACCATCAGCTGCCATTTGTTTACATTGGCCAACTGCCGTATAAGTTGCACACAAACTGGTTGCATCTGTCTGAAGTGTACATCAAGATAGAGCCGCAACGCGTTGCCGCACAACCCTCACTTTGTTGTGAGCTACGCTTTGGCTTGGACCTTTCGAGCGCTCGTTCGTTCGAATCAGTCGCTTGCGGTCTGCGCGTTGTTTATGTTCGTCTCCTCGCTAGAATTCATCAATTTCGACGCCCCGAGTTTTAAGTCGTGTGTGTTATTCTAACGAAAATAAAAAGCCGCCTTTAGCTTAAATAGAAAGAATATAAATAAAGGGAAAAGAAATTCAAGTTTTGGCAACTGTTGCGTCAACGCTTCTCTGCCACAGTTAGAGTTATTCCAGTAGCTAACGGTGCTTAAGTGTGTTGAAGTTATTGTCTGTACTAATAAGGGCTACGAAATGGGCGCCAAGTTGTTGGAAAATTTCTTTAATGCCATTAAAGTGTGTGAATGTTGTTGCCAAGCCTAACGGCTGCGGCCTATAATTAACCCGAAAAGATACAAAAAGTATCTGCAATTGAACTGTGTAGACCGCAAATACGCGAATTTCGGATTTGCCAAACAGTTAGAGGTGCGCGTGTGTGTTGCAATAATATTAACAACAACAACAACTTAAACAGGAACAGCAACAACAACAACAAATACAAGAAAATGCCGTCAACAGCGTTGCAATTGCAGTTGCAGCGACGACGTCATCAGCGCCATCATCATCAGCAACATTTTTGGATAACTCTGACATTTGCAATGCTTATGGGTAAGTTATACGAGTATACGAGCAGTTTGCCATAAAGAAGTTATTAGACAGAGCAAAATGTAGCTTATAGATACGAAACACACACATAGACACACACTTTTTTTTTTGGTAGCTGCAACCTGCCACAAGCGGCGGCTCTCGGTTTCATTTGGCAAAAGTTCATGACATTTGCCCACGAAAAAGAAAAAGAAGATGCGAGGCAGACATGCGACTTTGTCAGACAGCGCTAGACAGTCGGACAGACGGGCCAGCCAGACGGACAGACGGACAGATGGATGGACATACAGAGACGCTTTTATCTCACAATATACATGTAGTATGAAACGCTTATGCCCGACAAGGGGCTTGTTGCCTGAACTCACACACACTACACACACACACACACCACACATACACACACACACACACCACACACACACACGTAAAACTCCTTTTGTCTGGCTGCTGTTTTTGCTTGAGTTCGTCGTCTTTTTTCTTTTCGGTTTGTTTGTTGTTGACATTTAAACACTTGTGTTTTTCGCTCTCCTCTCTACTGCTGTTGTCGTTGTAGTTGTGGTTTCAGCAATAGCTACAAATAATAATAAGAAGAAAAAATGATTATTTTTTTGCCACCGCCAAGTGTTGCGCTAACGTGCAACAACCCACAGACTCCGCTCCCCATTCTCTGGCACCACCCCCTGCTGCCCCACGCTGTGGCCCAAGTCTTGTGTTGCCGACTATCTGCCATGCCTCGTTTTAAATGCAAAACTTTTTCGTATAAATTTTTACTCAGTTATTTCCTCAACATTCTTGCAGCGGCAGCAACTTTTTTACTTTTTTTTTCTTCATTGTTTTATTTTTATTTTTGTAATACCCTTGCCGGTCGGGCATGTTCTAGTTTTGGGAAGGTATTGTGTTTACATTCGGAAAAGCAATTCAAAATCATTTATTTTGAACTGCGATTTTTGCTCAAGATAGAAATTAATTACATATTTCGGCCAGGGGCTATTTATTTTTGCAAACCAAAGCTGATTACAAATAAATATAACATTTATGGTGAAATCGTTGCAAACATGCCAACGTTTATCATGGTTTTAGTTTCCCAGTTGAAGCCAAGAAACTTTTTGGCCATGCATAATAATCAAGTGATTTCAATATTAAATATTAATGCATCTTTTGGGTTGTTTAAGTCAAATATTAATTAAATCTTGTGCTAAAATTGCAAATGAATGAAAATATTTTTATTTAATTGAATATCAAATGGATGACTGTGGCCTTAGTTGAGGCAATTCGGAGCTAACACAACAATAATTTATTTTATTTGGTTTTAAATAAACGTTAAATAAATGAATAAAAATAATATTTATTTACAATTTTGCTTCAATAAATTGCAAGAATCTCAACATCTTCGTTTTCTATTGGAGCTGCTAAAAATCAAACACGAATCTAGTATTGAACGAATTTAAGACTAGGAATAGTTGCTTAGAATAGATGTTTATTAATAAATGTTTTCTCAAAAGAAATTGTGGTGCCGATCTCATAAATGCTAAGTCTGTGCTGCTTAATATTTTTTAATAACTAAAAGTATTGTGGAAATATTTTGAAAGGTCCAACAAATATTCACCTCTGGGTGGGAGTAGGCTCCCACATTTTCAATTTTGAGATAAGGATGGCACCGATTGGAATAAAAAGCGTGTCATGGGAAAGCAATACAAAATAACAATTTCGATTCCAGGATCGATTCCGATTTGGCGAAAAAGGGAGCTATGGAAACATTATGTACCTGCCGAACCGCCGTTTAATCAACTGTCAATTACTTCTATATTTTGAACACAATTCCAATGAAATTTATCTCAAACTGTGTTCAGAAGTGTAGCCATTTGTCGACTTACAAATCACTTTTGCTGTTGTTGCTATTTTCCGCTACTTTTTGTTTGTTGTTGTTGCCATAGCTGCTGTTTATTTGATTTATGCGACATAATTCAGGCGAACTTTGTGGCACACATAATTTAATTTTGCTCCTCACTCTCTGTGCGTGGGGTGTGGGGCTTGCTTTTCGCACTTTAACTGCCACTCGCAACATTTTTGAGTCGAGTTCTTTTTTTAATTACATAAATTTTTTGTGAAACTTGCCTTTGGCAGTTGCTTTAGTTAGTTTTCGAAAATTTGCTTCAACTAATTTGAGAGACATTTTTTATTTTCGTTAAACTTGCTAATTGAAAACAGTTTAAAAAAATAGAGGGTCGAAGAATAATTTACAGAGTTTCCCGCTCACAAAAAGTTCAACAATTTGTGGAGCGCGACAAGTTAGACTTTTTGTTTGTTTTATTTATGCTTTTATGGAGCGTCTGTTAATGAATTATGCGCGCACAAACTTAAACAGTAAACAATGTAAGTTGGACAAACGTGTGCTATATTTAACACGATTCTAATGATTTTATAGCCACATGACGAATCTATTAGTGGCCATGAAAGATTGTCCAAATTCTGGCAAATTAGCGAGTTGCTAATGAAGGGCCGGCAAGTGTTGGCGCTGTTGGGTCGGCGCTGAAAATCAGTTGGCAGAGAAATTGGTAAGATATGAGTGGAATGAGAAACAAAAGCTTATTTTAGATGAGTTCAGCAAATAAGCAGCAGTATAGAGTGCTTTATTTTAAGGCAACAATCAGCTATCAGTATGCAGATGTTGGGATACAAGAAGAATATAGTGCTCTCCTTCAGATCCCTTCACTTGCCTTTTTTTTAAATTGTCTGCAAAAAACCTCTTCACTGAATAATGTTCAAAAGTTTTTGTATTGTTTTTGGAAACCTTCTATTAAAGTTATAATTCTTTTTTTGAAGACTGATCAGCAAAGCAAATACATTCTAATGCTCCTTTTTATAGTCGATGATTTCATACCATTTTATTGTGGAAAAGAGTTTTTGGTAGAAAAAAAAAGAACAAAAAACTTATTGAGCGAACTATACAATAGATAGGAGTCTGTGATCATTAAATATCCTTTCTGGTAGGCCAGTTGTTTTATTTGATTAGCTCGTCAAGTTTCGTTGTAAAATGCAATGTTGTGTGTCTTATCTGAGTTTTTTTTTTCGTCGGTTCTTTGGCACACTTGAGCCATCATGAAGAGGCTTTTCAGTCAAACTCAACAACCCTACGCACTAACCAGCTAGCCGACTACTCAACTAACTAACTAATTTGGCTTCCCCACCTGCAATTTAGAGCAGCTGCCCATTCAACTCTCATGTGTCCACTTCTCCGGCGCACGCGCTCAACATTTAATAACAAGCTCAAGCTGCAAAACCAAACAAGTCAGCCATTCAGCCTGCCAGCCAGCCAGCCAGCTAGCCAGCCATCCAACCAACTAACCAAAAATAAAAAAGTAAATGAAAAAAATATGCCGGGCAAGCTGTAAGATGAAATACACCTGCCTGGGTCTGGTCAAATTTTTAGCATGTGTAGCAACAAGACAGCCAACCTAAAATACAACAAAAAGCAGCACACAAATTATGATTGTTATTATTATTTTTTTTTTTTTAGCACAACTAGAAAATTGAGGATGTGGTTAAGCAGCGAGAGGAGAGGGAAGAGAGAGAACTCAGTCAGGGCTTACAAATTCTTTTCATGTTGTTATTGTTGTTTGTTTTTTGATAGGCTCTGTAAAAGATTCCGGTGCAGGGCCGGGTAGCGCTTAAAGCCCAAAAAGTAGGTTTATGCGTCGCGTCGACGCATCGTGTATGCCTGTAAACATGTATGTATTTGTGTCTGTCTGTGTCTGAGTGTGTGTGGTTATGTGTGTGTGTGCATGGGGAACATATAGAACGGCCGACTTTACTTTATAATCCCAGCGATTTACGTAGGCAAATTGAATTAAAGCTAAAACCTCAGCAAACAGAGCTCTGAGCTGAGCTAAAAGTGTTGGGGCGGACTGCCTGGCCTGGCCTGGTCTGGACTAGATTGGCTTGGCATGGCTTGGCTTGACTTGGCCGGGCTATAAGTGTGGACTTAAAACCGATTTAGTTAAAGCCAAAGCTAAAATGTGTTAGCATAAAGGTTTTGACGCGTGTGTTGTGTGTATATTTCTATGTATATCCACAATATATATTGTGTATGTGTCTGTATGTGTGTGTGTGTGTGTGTGTGTAGATTAAACGCTTCGGCTTATGGCCAGGCGTTGTCATCGTCGTCGTCATCATCACCATCGCTGTTCTTGCTGCCTTGTTGGACTAGTTTGAACTGCTCTCTTATGCGAATCTGGGGCTAGTTAAGCGGTGGGTTGAGGCATGAACTAATGGTGGGCAGTTAGTGGCTCTAAACCGAACCAGGTTGCTCCAATAAAAAAAATCTGCTGCAAATTTCGTTTTGTGCCAAGTATGTAGGTTGCCAGTAGGTTGGTAATAGCCAGATACTGGTTGGCAATACGCAACACCGAGTTGTCATTCAAGTACAAGTATATGTTTTTAAAACCTGGCATTTGGGTATGTTTTTCATCTTTTGAGCTTAGATCCATCACCACTTATTAGATATAAGAATACCCCTCGCAAATTCGCACAAGTCCGAGTATGAAGACAACCTTTTTATAACTGCTCGCCTACCCTGCGTAAAGACTCTTCCGCTTCCCAGCAATCAGTCAGGACAAACCGTTTTATATACAAGAAGTAGTTGTATTTAGATAATAGTGACAGCTTTCCTGCCAAATATAAACACAAACATACTCAATTGTTAAAGTCTTGAATTTTTATTATCGTTCCGTTAATGGGAATGTTGCGTTTTCTTATTTTAAAACAAGCCGCTAATTTACATATTTCTCTAGAGGACTCTTGCAGACGCAACAAAGAGGCAGCAACAGCCCTTTTTCCCAAAACAGACAATCATTATAGCAAGGGAGCAGATAAACTTAACAGGTTTCCCCCTTAGTTCTTTTCAAAGCCTTGGGCTAACAATGCTGACTCACTTAAGCTGGGGAAACTGCTAGAAACAATAAAATTTTCCCAGCAATGGTTTTTGTATTGTTTTTCATTCTCCT